CCTGACCACTGCCACTGCTCAGTGTGGCCAAGTATGTCTGAAGTAGGTACAGGGCTGGCCAGGGTCAGGGCTGTGTGTGCAGGTTCCAGCTAGTCTGGAGCATGATTAATGCTTGTTTAAAAAAATTAACAAGTTATTTTATTTTTGCGTTAATCACATACGTTAACTGCCCTACTGTCTTATTGTGATTCTCCCCTGAGCTCTCTCTTCCCTTTTTCTGCACAAAAATTGAGAATGAATATAGAAAACAAAACAGAGTCTCTGAATTTATTTTCCTGGGTTTTTCCAACATGCTTAAATTGCAGATATTACACTTTCCAGTGTTTCTGATTATTTTTATTTGGCAGTCTTAATGGGCAATCTTCTCATCATTACAAGGGTAAATTTCAGGTACTATTTCCATATTCCCATGTACTTCTTCCTTTTGAACCTCTTCTTTCAAGAATTCTGCTCCATCTCTGTAATTGTCCCCAAATACACGGCCAGTTCTCTAGCCAACACCAAATCCAGATCCGGCTTTTTCAGGGGTGTGTAGCAAAACCATTTTTCCTGTTTCTTTTGAATGCTTAGATTGGAGTAATTTGCAGATGGCTAGATATCAATCTTAGGCCTTAAGCATCAGCCTAAGACATTCTAAGACCATTATGGATAAGGGAGTATGCCAGCAGCTGGCTTCTGGTTCCTGGCTTATGGAAAATTCTTTATTAAATTCTGTGTACCACTACACCTTCTCTGCACTTTTTAGTAGACCAAACATTATCAATCAGTTTTTTTTCCTGTAATAACCCCCTGTGACAGGACCTGTGTCCCAAGAGTGCCATGACACCCTGTGATGGACACATAGCGTCTGCTTATTCTGACACCTTGGGGTGCCCTTGATGTTGCCCAAAGTGTTTGGGGAGTTGCGCTGAGGACCCACAGTGGGTCTAATCCAATGCAAACTTGTCACTTGGGCAATCATATGTGGTCTTTCTGGCCCATTGATGTCCTCCAGGTTCTGGGTTTATATGCCCTAGAGCCCATCCCCTTTTGGTTAAGTGACTTCCTAAGAAGAACAGGGGTTTATCCTTTTACCTAATGGGCAGTCTGCCCCTCCCTGCTGCAGTTAGCTGCCTGGAAATATGCACCACTTCTGTGGTTTATCACTTTTCAGCTAGCCTTGGCTCAGCTGCCTGCCTACACAGCAAGGCTAGCTTGTTGTTCCTTCCCCTTTAACAGAGACCTTTGACTTCCTGCCCCCCCTCCATCTTCCTGCCCCCATTGCTAAAACTCTTGTTCTGAGACTGAAATCACAAATATGTAATTGTTGGATTTTAATAGCTTTAAATTTAACCTACTTGGTCTCTCTTACTTTATCTTATGTCTACATCTTCTCCATGGTCTAAGAATGTGGACATAAGATTACATTTATATCAATGTTTCTCATGTATACTATTGCACTGGTACCAAACATAAGTAAATAAGTAAAGTAACTACAATCAAGTGGGGCAAACAAGTAAGGGTGAAACTAATTCAGTAATAGACATGAAGCCAAATCCAAATACATTGTCCCATCAAGTATTGATAATTGCTGTGTTCTATTATGTCATGCCACTGTTAATAAATGTCTTCATCTACAGCTTAAGAAGTGATATTATAAAAGTGACTTTAAGAAAAATGCTAGGTAAGTAGACAGGGTACCCCCCCCCCAAAGTATCTCTTTTTCTAAAGAGTTCATAAAAATAAAGTGCAATAAAGTAACATGATTATTGCTTCAGTGAGTTTAAAAAATGTATATTATACCAAAAGCAAACTTTGAAGAGCAGGAAAAGAAAAATCATGATTGTATTCTAGAAATGTTCTTAATGCACTGTTAGTGGATGTTACAAGGATATTTAGGAAAGTTAGTGCACAGATTTGATTTACAATGGGCTTTCAGCAACTGGTGACAGACTTTCAAAGATATTTAGGTTCCTAACAGTTCATATAGGCTCTTATAGGGATTAAGAAAAAACACTTGAGCATCTTAAATGCTTAAATCTGATTTGAATTTGAAGGGTGTTAGGTAAATTTGAAATCCTAGCATTCAAACCGCAGGCTTCAGGGAAGGACCAAAGACAAGACCCAGTCCTAGGATTGCCAACCCAAGAACTGGGGTTCCTGCCCTCCCTCCCCCCACTGATGATCTGCAAATTTTTTTTTACTGACAACTAAATGTCACAACCCAATTAACTTGTGCCCATGCCACTGAGCAAGAGATACCATTCAAGTCATCTTCATTTGACTATTAAGGGTTAAAAGACTTCCCTGCCAAGAAATTCCTTGAAACAAAACGCTGGTGGTGTACTACAGATAATTGGTCAGCTGAAATAAAATGCTAGGGGAAACTATATATAATTGGTCAAAGATAAACGTAAGCTCCTCACACGTAGCACACACGTAACAGGTAGAGAAACCTAACCCACTACCTTTTAACTTGAGGAGACAAACAGCTGCCACCTGCCAAAAAATTAAAGATTCCATATAACAGTTCACGATTGGGCATCTCTGTCAAACACCTCTGCCTATAAATAGTTTAACGGTTTCCGCCCAAGTCGGAGAGCTCTGGGGATCTCACAGGAAATACCTGTGCTTGTCACCAGAGAATTGGGAAATTGATCAATTCCCAATCGATCACCCCGTCAGCGTAAAATATTGACGTAGAAAGTCTGGCAAGCGCGACCGTCCGTTTTCGGCGCCACGTCCGTCATTATCTCGTCGTAACCTAACTGCGTGCGTGTACTCGACTCTGTAACCGAAGTTATATGCGTATACTCAACTCTATAACTGAAGCTGTAACGGAACAAAGGCTCGCCTGCGTCGTCCATCACTATCTGGGCGACGTAAGTAAACAAACTCCTGTAACCTACACGCGTCTGTGCCTGGTTAATTCCACTCCATCCATCACTACCCGCCTGCCGAGCTCTAAATCTAAACACTCCGGTGTGAGTCAGGCGGCTGCTGCTCCGATTCACGACACTAAACTTTTTTCACTAACACATGTTTTTACTGTCAGTAAAAAATGTTGTTGGGTTGGCAACTCTACATGGTTTTACACTGTGCTGCCCCCTGGCCAAGTGTCCCCTACTCACTCCCATACTTTGAAATTCCTAACTGCGCCCTACACTGTTGCCCACATCCAAGACACCCCCCCCCCCCCGTCCCCCAGTTTTACCTTCACTGGCCTTGCCTTCCCATTACAGCATGGACTCCCACCCTCTGCTTCTCCCTCCACCATCCTCTCCCACCTCCTGCCCCAGCTCCATCCCTGTCTTGCTTGTCCTGGGCTGCAGGGCCTTGCATAGATACTGTTGGCATTGGATTTATGACCCATATGCCTTGTTTTATGTGGACCCAAACCCTCAGACCAACCACTGCTTCTCCATTTGATAATAGGCAAATTGTATTTATATACAGTGATAGAAGATAAAAACAATGCAAGCAAGGCAAACAAAAGTAACCCACCCAGTTCTATATCTACCAATCCTAGAGCTGTCATAAAGGGAAAGTACAGCTGGCCAGTATGTAAGTTTAATCCTGAGGTTCTTTCTTGAGTGTCAGATGTCAGCACCCTGGAGGTTGAGGGCCAAGACCCCCACCCCCCTCCAGTGGGGTGGTTAAGATGGACTAGCGGTATGCCCTCTGTTCATGGTGGTCTTGGTTTCCCTTCTCAGGGACCCTTGGCTGCTATGAAGTCTCTCCTTTTGTATCCTTTTCCTCCTCTGATCACTCTTCATTCCCGGGCATTTTTGATTGGTTTCCCTGTGGTCGTTGTACTGTCCATGTTCTGTCCTGTCAGCATATTCCTTTGTTCCAGTAAACCCATCACATGCGCACACACTCTGATATTGAGCACTGTGGCCTAATAGTACCTTATCTCATGTTATGGAACAGTGTGTTACATGTATTCCTTTTCCCAGCCTGTGTATGTTTCCTTGTCTATTGGCCTCAGATTTGCTGTTTGCTGGTTCCACACAGAGTAGGCCTTGAAGGTAACTTTGTCACAAACAAGCTTTTAGAAACGAATTAACCTATGCCATCCCCTAAACCATTGTTTGAAGGTGCATCTACAAGCCAGCTCTCAAAAGCAAACCTCTAAAAATCTTTTTCTAGCCATTAGATACCTTCAGGATGAGCATTGAGAAGGCCCTGGGATATCACTAAAATGAACTATGGAGGCTCTAGCAGACCAGCAAACTCTGCAAGACAGTTTACTGCAGTACTCTAAGAAGAATTCCAATTTAGACACCAGGTAGTGCTGCTCTGCTCTCTCTGTCCAAAGATACTTGAATTCACATGGATCTTGAAATGAGTTGAGTCTTAAGGGTGGCTCATGGGTTTGTTTATGGACATCACAAGTAAGTGTTTTTAGGCCAGTTTTTATGGACCATCTATAAATTTACAGTTGGCGACTGACTAATCCTTTCATGAATTAGAGCTGAGATTTTCATAGAATCCGATGGGAGTTAAATGCCCAAATCCTAATTAATTTTCATTCAGTAAGTCAGGAATATTTCCTGTTCTTGCCTATACCATCTGTGTAACTGTAAACAGGTCATTAGGGCCAAATTTTCAAAGCCATTTAGGAGAAATGGGTTCCTAATGTAGCAACTAAAGTAATACCCACAATGTTGATTGGACTCTATATCAGTTGGAAAGATGAACATTTTGAGGTATCCAGACCTTTAGAGAGATTGCAACCATCCCAAAATTTAGTTTTTTAAAAAGGTAACGTTTTATCTAAAATAAACAAAATCAAATCTTCACAATGAATTTTTTATCATTTTCCTCAGAGCTTCTTTAACATCCTTGTTCCTCAAGCTGTATATGATGGGGTTAAACATTGGTGTCACTATAGTGTAGAGAAGACTTAGCCCTTTCTTAATACCAGGAGACCACTTGGATGATGGTGCAACATACATGATAATAAGTGTCCCATAGAATAGGATGACAACAGTGAGGTGAGAGGAGCAAGTAGAAAAGGTCTTTTGCCTCCCACTGCTGGAGGGGATCCTGAGGACTGTAGTTAGGATGGATATATAAGATGCTGCTGTTAACAGAAATGGTATGAGAGTAACAATGAGGGCTATGAAGAATAAGACCTTGCCAATCCACTCAGTATCAGTGCAGGCCAGTTTCAACAGCAGTGTTGAGTCACAGAAAAAATGATCCACTACTTGGGAACCACAGAAAGGTACCTTGGAGACTAGGTATAAAACCACACCAATGCTTATAAAAGTGCCAAGCCATGTACCAATGGCAAGCTGGATACACACCGAGTGGTTCATGAGGATGGTCTAGTGAAGTGGGTAGCATATTGCTAAGTATCTATCATAAGCCATTTCTCCTAAAAGGAAACACTCTGTAGCTCCAAGAGACCCCAAAAAAATAAGCCTGGAGTAAGCATCCATTGATGGAAAAGTGTTTCCCTTCCATCAAAAAGCCTGAGATCATAGCAGGGATGATGTTTGTTGTATAGCATGTCTCTAAGCAGGACAGGTTAGCCAAGAAGAAATACATGGGGGTGTGGAGTTGTGGCTCTGCCACAATTTTTATTACAATGAGGATATTCCCAACCACTGTCACAACGTAGATCATGGAAAATGCCATGGACAGAAGCAGGATCTGTGGTGGATGGAGGTTCCTGAATCCAAGCAGAGTGATCTTGAAGATTAGAGTCTTATTGGTTCTGCCTAAAGTTTCCATAAGCAGTGCCTACACAGAAGCAAATCATCCACACATTAAGTGATCAAAAGAATGTTAGAGAGGGGCACAACTCTAATAAGCAATTAGTGGATGGCATAGCATGTCTCTATGAATAGGTCTTTCCATGGTTTGAGGCTGGAAATGTTTAAGGGGTCTGAGAGACTTAGGTGTTCAACACCCATTGAAAGTCAATGGTGCCTTAAGAGATGAATGTAAACTGATTTAGCTAAACTTTTGAAAGCTCTGTGTGCATATTTTTAAGAGTGGCTTCTTTGAACTTACTTTAAGTAAACTGGAAAGGACTTAAGATACAAATAACATTCTCTTAATTGGAAATAAATGTATCTATACACATTTGTTATGGTGGGAATTTTAAAAGGACCGAAGTAATTTAGAAGAATAATTTATCTTTACTTTCACTCAAAGTGTTTGTAAACCTAAAATAACCTGGAAAGCTCCACAGTAACAATTTCCCTCACCACCACTTTGCTTCTTTTTTTATATACATGCTGAGGTCACCTTATAGAGAGACTTTGAAAACATCTTAAAGCAAATTAAATCAAGGTAAAAAACAACAACGAACAAACATTGAGGCTTTTAAAAAAAATGAACAAAGGATGGTTTTAAAAAAAAAAATTGGTTTTCATAAAAAAATGCCTGTACTTGTGGAATTTTTCTTAGAATTTTTTTTTCAAGCTAAAATAACCGGTTTCAGTTTCTTGCAATGGGTAAATTAATCCCTCTTGTTTGTAAAAGGCAAACAATCAGTTTTGGTTCTTAATCCTCCATCCCAAGAAGTCATTTGTGGTGGTTTTTACCAAGTGGAATGGATATTTTAAGAAACCCAAAACTTTGTAGACAAACATGTCTAGATCCAATTCTATTTATTAAGAATGTAAAAACAAACAACCCAGTTAATACAAAAAAAGGTGGCTAGTTCTTCATCTTACTCATTTTTTATGACTCAGTCTTAATGCTAAGTTGATAGCATGTTAAAAAAATTGGATGCATTAAGGCATTTTCAGGGGCCTGAACAGTGGGATGAAATCTGAAGTGTGGTCTAAAACCCATTTAGGCACTATAGAGGTGGAATAAAATCTGGCCTATAAGGTCAGTGTCAGAAGAGATCATTAGACCACATAGTCTGCCCTACTGTATGTCATAAGCCATGCTTTTTCATGAAGCTGTCTCACTGTTGAGCTGAATGCTGATTTGCATTTGATTTAAGCATATATTCCAGTAAAACATTAGAAGAAACAGAAAACTTTTCTTTAAAGCAATGCAAAATCATCAAATGAAACTGCCATAAGATATGGCCTAAGCAAAGAATGTATTGGGGTCATTTGCACTAGGAATAGACACTTATAAGAACAGTAAGAATACCCATAATGCTGGTGCTCATAATTAAACATTCATATGGAATATTAATCTTTCTGCTTCAGGATTACAGCTGTACAGAAAAAATCATTGACCAAAGTTGGAAAGAAACTTTGTAGGCATGATAATTCATAATATGAGGTTTCACGTGCTTTCCTGTTAAGCATCTGGGTGGAATATTCATAGGCACTCCTTGGAAATACTTGGAAGCTTAGTACCTACCTCCTTCAGACAGTATTACAAAAAATATATTTTTTCTTTTTAATGAGATAGTTAGCCTGAAGAAAGGCAGAAGGCAGAGTAGAGCTGCACCGTATAGACTAGCTAAATCATAGATGCATATGTTTTTATGAGCCCAAGATCTCTTTATCAGGTACTGGTTAATGTTACACATAAGGATTTGTGCTTGCTTCTGTTTCATAGAACTTCCTTTTCTTTACACTAGATTCAGAAGACAGGTATAGACAGAAATAAACTGACAAACTGATTAAATTAATGAAAATGTACATATTACCTTTATATTCCACATATCCTGACTGGATAAAGGTGGACTTTCTTTCATGTACATCTCTTATCTAGTAATTAGTAACTTTCTTGAGCACAGGCAGGCATCCATTTCTTCAATTAACCTTCCTTCTCATTAACATTCTTACCATCTCTGAAAATATTAGTTAAAAATATTTCTCTACTCTAAGATTTTTTTAATGGTTTCTTTACAGAATAAAAAAGAATATTCATCTTCCTTTATAATTGCATTTTGGTTGTGTTAGCTCCATGCTATATATGAAAACACTAGGATATTGGTTGGGCATCAACATGCTGTTGATCTCACCTAATACCAACAAGACTCCCCTAGGCTAAGATTTTCAATGCCACCTGAGGAACCTGGACACCCTGAACATTATTAGAAAGTAATAGGGTTTGGGGATCTAAATCCTCTAGGCAGCTTTCAAAATCTCTCTAGCAATACATCTCCACTGACAATTTGAAAATTATTCTAGTTTTGTAAAACATTATATAAGGGAGACTAAGAGCAAATAGAAACTTTGATATCATGATCAGTTAACTGGTGTGAAATTTCCAAAGGAAAATAGTTAAACTAGGCACCCTGCTCTCATTGGATTTCAGTGAAGCTGTGGGCCAGAATCCCTCAGGCACCTTCCATTATGGTCAGAAAAAGAAAAGGCTAGTCTAAAAAGCTCAGTAAAACCCATTCATTGAAATTGTTTTCACTGTTTCCTTTTATGGGTGGGTTTTTGGTTTTTGGGGGGTTTTGTAAATTACAGTCTTAGTTGCCCAAAGTCAAATCTTCAGTACAGCTGTGAACTGAAATAGAGCTGAAACCTCCCTAACACTCAGGTTGATGTTCAATCATTTGATAATCCCTACCACATCTCCCTGCAACTCATCTGGAATACAGGAATGGTGTGAGACTGCTGCTGCTACCACCACCAGGAAGTGTTGTGATGGCTCCCCTCCTAATGCCCCCCACCTTCACTTCAAGAGATCTTCTCTCAAAAACTTACTCCAAGCTTGTTCCCCAAAGGCACTGCCATCCAGATTCCCCCACATCAGATCACCTCAGCAACACAACACTAGCTCCTCCAGCCATTATATATCCAACTAAACCCTGGACACCTTCACCTAGCTCCCCACCCACTATCTAGCAAGTCTCCTACCTGGGATGTCCCAGGTACAGCATACCAGTTTCCCCTCACCCACTCATAACATACTCACTCCTCCAAATACCTTCTTCCCTAGACACATAGGTCCCTTTAATCACCCCACCTCTTATTTCCCCTTTCTGGATGCCTTCAGCTAATTTCCTACCAACTACTCCACCTTAAGTTGCTCAAAGCCATCTCCATTTTAGATACCACAACTCATGTCCCCTCCCCACCAAGAACACCTCTAGATACTTTTAGTCATACAGCAGCCAACTCCAGACAGTTTCTCATCAATCTTAATGTTGTGCCCAACTTCCCTTGATTTCCCTTTAGCCCTGTGTAACAGGTATCCGTTCTGGGCCAAGCAAAAATGTGACCCGCCCACCTGTTCTTGAGGCAACCTCCCGCCTTCTCTCCTGCCATGCTTTGCTGTTAATTAATTAATTGATGTTAATTAGCAGGAGGCTGCCAGTGTACTGCCCCATTGCCAGGGGGCGCTATCTGCGGCTCCGTTTCCTCCCCTACACCACAGTCCACACCTCGCCAATGGAATAGCTGTTATGTCTCAGCCTTATCAGAATCAGGCCCCCTCTTTGGGCCTTCTCACGTGTTGCCCCCTCCTCTGGGGCTCGCCACACCCGCTCTGGGCTTCTCAACAGTGCCCCACTCTGGGGCTCGCCACACCCGCTCTGGGGCTCCCTCTCTGGGGCCAGGGTCTATGTACCCCGTACGCTGCACCCCTATGGGCACTGGGGTCCCCACTCTACTGTGGGTCCCCTATGAGGCCTCCTCCAACCCCTAAGAGCCTCACCCAAACCACCGGTGCTAACAACAACAAAGCAAAACAGGAGCCCCTAGGCTATAACTCAAACATAAGCCCTCTGGCTATAACAACATTGCTCAACTCAGGTCAAGCTGTACCTGCAGTTAGGCTTCTCTTCGCATCATGGCATACGGAGTCCCTGCTTCTCTGGCTGCTGGCAGGGAACTCCCTCTGGCCTCCTCTCTGTCTTTTTTATAGGAGCCAGGCCCTGCCCCCT